ATTCATTACCTGCTTGACTGGGTGGGAATAGTGCATAATAGGTACTTAATCAGCATTTCCTGACAATGATTACAGGTGCTATAAAGCACACAGTAGAGGGAATGGTAGATTCAGCCTGGGCGTATCGGGAAAGTTTCTGTTGTTGTCTTGAAAGATGGCTTAGTGGTCGCCAAGTTGGCTGGCCACATGGGGAGATTATTTCAGGCAGAGGGAAGAGTTATGAGCAAAGATCCAGAAGGGGAAGATAGCCTGGTATAGAAAGTAGCTGGGGCATTAGGTGGGAGAGAAGGCTGGGTAGAGCAGGCAGGAACCAGAATGTGGACTTCCTTTTATGCAGTGGTTGGGTGCTTGACTTTTATTCTAAGTGAGATGAGAAGCTATTGGAATATTATGAGCAGAGGAGTGATATGGGCCAGTTTATGCTGCATCAGCCCCCCTGGCTGTAATGTGGGCTGTGGACCGAAGGGGGACAGAGTGGAGGCAGGGAGGCCAATTAGGAGGCTTGCAGCTATCAAAGGGAGAGGGGATGCTGGCTTAGGCAAGGAGGGTAATAGTAGAAGTGGAAAGGAGTGGTCATGTTCTGGATGTATTTTGAAGGTACAGCTGGTGGGACAAATTGATGGATTGGATATGGGGGAGGGTGAAGGAGAAAGAGGAGTCTGGGATAATTGCCAGATCTCTGGCTCAAATGATTGGCTGTCTGATGGAGCCGTTCAGCAAGATGGGGAACACAGTAGAAAGAACAAAATTTATGGGGAAAAGTGATGAGTCATCTTGGATGTGTCCAGTGTGAAGCGTCAGTGGGACACTCAGCAGTTGGATGTATGGGTCTGGGTCTCAGGGGAGAGGTCTGGGATGGGGCCATAGATGTGGGACCATATAGATGGAGGTTGAAAAGATGAGGACGAAATGGGAGAGTGTATTTTTACAGTGAGAAGAGAAGAGGTCCAGGAACAGAGTCCTGGGGAACGCTAACATGAAAGAGGGGCAGAAGATGAAGACCACGTAAAGGTGGCTAAAAGGGAGTGGTAATAGGTACAGGAGGAGGACTAGGAGAGAATAGGGCCGTGGAGGCCTAGGGGAAGAGAGTTGCAAGGGGAGTGTGCTCAGCAGTGCCCAGGGCTGCGGAGGGGGTGCCCTAAGATAGGAGCTGCAAAGTGTCCATTGGGTCTGGCGTTGGCTTGATCTTTGAGCAGATCCAAAGATGGGGATGAGGGAGAAGCCACACTCAAGGACTGAGGAGTGAGTAGGAAGCGAGGAAGTGCGCTCAGTGAGGGGGGCTCTTCTTCAAGGACCTTTGACTGTGAAGGGAAGGCATGAGGTGGGATGACAGCTGGGGGAGGGGAGGGTGAAGGATCAGGAGGACAGTCATTATCATAAGGATAAGAGACAATTTTAGCTCAATTTTGAACCCATTTTAGCTCCAGGGAGAGAGTCAGTAGACATGCAAGGCTGAAAACCCAGAAGAGAAAGGAATTAACCAGTGGAGTCAAGTCGGGGTGGGGGCCTAGATGGCGTGGAGAGCCTAGGGAGAGGGGTTAGGGTTGAGTAGGAGAGGGGAGACTTCTCTCTCTGAAGGGTTACTTCTCATGAAATGATTTTCAATGTGAAGGAGCCACAAAGATCAAATTATCCACGCATGAACTGGGGCTCTTTGCAGACTTGGAGAGTGCAGGCTTAATCATGTGTTAGTTCAAATAGAGCCCTGGGCCGTGGTCAGAGGCATCTGGAGAGGACCGTGCTGACAGAGGCAGTGGTTGCTGGCCACGAACTGCAAACAGTGAGCACTTCAGATGTGTTTGTACAGACTCAAACACGGTTGAATGTACACATGGGAGCTTGTGATATTAATCAAGGTAAAAAGTCTCCCTTAAAAGAAATGATGTGACTTTACAGTGAATAAATAGGACATAATTAATGGGTTTGCCAATTGTTCTTTCCTGCTCTGGACTCTGGCCAGAAGCTGGAGGGCTGAGAACAGGACAGGGAGAAAGGCCCCAGACTTCTTCATGGTTCTCACCTCTGAGGCTGCCCCTAGCCCTGAAGGTTCAGCAGAATTTGGGGCCTGGGTGTGGCAACAGCACTGATCTTTTACAAAGCAGAGAGGCCCACCTGTCATGGAGTTTGTGCACCAAGGGCGAAGGACTTAGTGCTAAGACATTCTGTCCCTTTGCAGACAATGGAGCCTATAAGCTGTTACAGAAAAGCTCGTGCAAGTCATTGTCTAACTGAAAAAACAATGTGCTGACCCATGCTACATGGCGTGATATAGATTGTACAGAGAAGCAAAGCATTTGGTTTGGGCCCAGGCTCTGTTACAAGCTTGCTGTGTGACTTTAGGCAAGTATTTTCCTCTTGCTGGTCCTTAGCTGCTCCATCTGCTAAATAAGTAGAGTGGACAAATGATCTCTAAGGGAACTGCCACCCCAACATTCTATGCATTTTTTGAATTAATAGATGATTTTTTAGCGCAGTTTTAGGTTCACAGCAAAATTGAGCAGAAAGTACAGAGAGTTCCCATATACCCCCTGTCCACACACATGCACAGCCTCCCCCACTGTGGAATTGTAACTGAACTCAGTGCAGCCGTCTCTTGGTGAGTGCAGAGCCGAAAAGCACAATCAAGCTGAAGTGGGTGAAGAGAAAGTTTTATTGCTTGCTCAAACATTGGAGAACACTCGGGACAGCCCCCAAAGCAGTGCTTCCCCCACCCTCCAGCTTAGTGCAGGTGGAGGTCTTATGCACCAGAGTGCAGAGGCTATGTTACGACTGTGTAACAACTGGGCTTGGCCAGGGCGCATGTGCAGACCATTATATAACGAGCTCAATGCCATTACATAACAGGTTCAATGCAACATGCCATTTAGAGCTGGAGCAATTTGCAGGGGTCCTGCTGCAACCATGTCAGTTTCACTGGAGGTTGGCAACATCTGCAAAAAACGAGGACATCATATTCTGAAAAACAGCACATTTAGTTTTCTCCTTGTCTGGAAAACATTTGACAGACTATGTTTAGTTACAGATCAGATTTTCAGTAACCCTTTCCTTGCCTGGCTTCTGATCACAGCGTCCTCCACCACAGTGGTACATTGGTTATAACTGATAAACCTACATTGAGGTATCGTTATCACCCAAAGTCCATAGTGGTGGTGGACATTTTATGAATTTTAACAAATATATAATGGCATGTATCCACCATTGTAGTATCATATAGAATAGTTTCACTGCCCTAAAAAACCCCCTATACTCCTCTGATTCATCCGTCCCTCCCCTCAACCCCTGGCAACCACTGATCTTTTACTGTCTCCATGGTTTTGCCTTTTCCAGAATATCATATAGTTAGAATCATACAGTAGGTAGCCTTTTCAGATTGGTTTCTTTCGCTTAGTAATAGGTGTTTAAGTTTCCTCCATGTCTTTTCATAGCTTGATAGCTCATTTCCTTTTAGCACTGAGTACTATTCCATTGTCTGGATGGACCACAGTTTATCCATTCACCTACTGAAGGACATCTTGGTTGCTTCCAAGTTTCGGCAATTCTGCATAAAGCTGTTATGAACATCAATGTGCAGGTTTTTGCGTGGACATAAGTTTTCAACTCATTTGGGTAAATACCAATGAGCAAGATTGCTGGATCATAGGGTAAAAGTATGTTTAGATTTATAAGAAAGTGCCAAACTGTTCTCCACAGGGGCTGTACCATTTTGCATTCCCAACATCAATGAATGAGAGTTCCTGTTGCTCCACATCCTCTCCAGCATTTGGTGGTGTCAGTGTTTTGGATTTTGGCCATTCTAATAGGTGCATAGTGATATGTCATTGTTTTAATTTGCATTTTCCTAATGACATATGATGTTGAACATGTTTTCATATGCTTACTTGCCATCTATATGGTGTCTGTTCAAGTGAGATGTCTGTCAGGTCATTTGCCCATTTTTCAATTGGGTTTTTGATTTTCTGTTTGTTAAATTTTAAGATTTCTTTGTGTATTTTGGATAACAGTCCTTTATCAAGTGTGTCTTTTGCAGATATTTTCCCCCAGTATGGGGCTTGTCTTCTCATTCTCTTGATAGCGTCTTTCACAGAGCAGAAGTTTTTAATTTTAATGAAGTCCAGCACATCAGTTATTTCTTTCATGGCTTGTGCCTTTGGTGTTGTATCTAAAAAGTCATTGCTACACCCAAGGTTATCTAGGTTCTCTCCTCTGTTACCTTCTAGAACTCAACATTGTCATAGTATTACATTTAGATCTATGATCCATTTAGAGGAAAGGGTCTGTGGTCTGTGTCTAGATTTATTTTCTTTTGTACGTAGATGTCCAGTTGTTCCAGTACCATTTGTTGAAAAGACTATCTTTGCTCCATTGTATTGCCTTTGCTCCTTTGTCACAGATCAGTTGACTATATTTATGTGGGCCTATTTATGGGCTCTCTATTCTGTTCCATTGATCTCTTTTATTTTGTTCAGTATTTCATTTTTGGGGTGCTAATATAAATGATAATATGTTTTTAATTTCAAATACCACTTGTTCATTGCTGATATATTGGAAAGTGATTGACTTTTCTATATTAATGGTGTATCCTGTAACTTTCCTATAATGACGACTTAGTTCCAGGAGGCTTTTTTGCTAATTTCAGATTTTTGACATAGACAATCCTGTCATGTGTGAACAAAGACAGTTTTATTTCTTCCTTCCCAATCTGTATACCTTTTCTTGTCTTATCTTGTCTTATTACATTAGCTAGGACCTCCAACATGAGGTTAAAAAGGATTGGTGAGAGAGGATATCCTGGCCTTGTTCCTGATCTAATGGTAAAGCTTCTAGTTTCTCACCATTAAGTAGGCTATCAGCTGTAGGTTTTTTTGTAGATGTTCTTTATCAAGGTGAGGAAATCCCCTCTATTCCTAGTTTTCTGAGAGTTTTTAACATGAATGGGTATTGAATTTGTCACATACTTTTTCTTTGTCTATTGATATGGTCATGTGATTTTTCTTCTTTAGCCTATAGATGTGATGGATTACATTAATTGATGTTTGGATGTTGAACCGCCTTTGTGTACCTGGGATGAATTCTACTTGGTCAAGGTATATAATTCTTTTTGTACATTGTGTTGGATTCGATTTGCTAAATTTGAGGATTTTTGCATCTATGTTTGTGAGACATATTGGGCTATAGTTTCCTTTTCTCATAAAGTCTTTGTCTGGTTTTGGTATTAGGATAATACTAGCCTCATAGAGTGAGTTAGGAAATATTTTCTCTGCTTCTATCTTCTGAAAAAGATTGTAGAAAATTGGTATAATTTCTTCCTTAAGTGTTTGGTAGAATTCACCAGTGAACCCATCCGGGCCTGGTTCTTTCTGTTTTGGAAGGTTATTAATTATTGATTCAATAGGTATAGGCCTATTCAGGTTATCTATTTCATCTTGTGTGAGTTTTGGGAGATTGTGTCTTTCAAGAAATTAATCTATTTCATCTAGGTCATCAAATCTGGGGCACAGAATTGTTCATAATATTCCTTTAGTATCCTTTATTTTTGTTGAGGAAGATTGTTCCTGAGCTAACATCTGTCACCAATCCCCCTCTTTTTGCTGCGGAAGACTGGCCCTGAGCTAACATCCATGCCCATCTTCCTCTACTTTATATGTGGGACACCTGCCACAGCATGGCTTGGTAAGCAGTATGGTAGATCCGCACCTGGGATCTGAACTGGCAAACCCTGGGCCACCAGGGTGGAATGTGTGAACTTAACCACTGCAAGCCCCCTTTAGTATCCTTTTAATGTCCATGGGCTCTGTAATGATGGCCCCCTTTCTTTTCGGATGTTAGTAATTTGTGTCTTCTCTCTTTTTTTCTTACCTTGGCTAGAGACATTGATTTTAATGATCTTTTCAAAGAACCAGCTTTTGGTTTTGTTGATTTTCTCTAGTAACTTTTTGTTTTCAATTTCATTGATTTATACTCTATTTTTTATTATTTATTTTCTTCTGCATACTTTGGATTTAATTTGTTCTTCTTTTTCTGTTTTCCTAAGGTGGAAGCTTGGGTTTTTTATTTTAGATTTTTCTTCTTTTCTAATATATGCATTCAATGCTATAAATGTCCCTTTAAGCACTGCTTTTGCTGCATCCCACAAATATAAGTTCTATTTTTATTTTCATTTAGTTCAAAAAATTTTATTTTATTTTATTCTGCTTTATCTCCTCAAATCCTCCCGGTGCGTTGTTGTATATCTTAGTTGCAGGTCCTTCTAGCTGTGGCATGTGGGACGCCATGTCAACGTGGCCTGATGAGTGGTGCCATGTCTCTGCCCAGGATCCGAACCGGCAAAACCCTGGGTCACCACAGTGGAGTGTGCAAACTTAACCACTCAGCCACGGGGCCGGCGTCTAGTTCAAAATATTTTTAAATTCCTCTTGAGATTTTTTCTGTGACCTATGTGTTATTTAGAAGTTTAATGTCTATTTATTTGGGGTTTTCCAGCTATCTTTCTGTTATTGATTTCTAGTTTAATTTCATCATGGTCTAAGAGCAGACACTGTATGATTTCTATTCTTTTAAACTTATTAAGGTGTGTTTTATGGCCCAGAATGTGGTCTATCATGAATGTTCCATATGAACTTGAGAAAGATGTATAATCTGCTGTGGTTGGATGAAGAAGTCTATGGATGTCAATTATATCTAGTTGATTGATAATGTTGTTAAGTTCAACTATGTCCTTACTGATTTTCTGACAGCTGGATCTGTTAATTTCTGAGAGGGGTGTTAAAATTTCCAACTATAATGATAGCGAATCTGAAGTGAGTTCGCTCACCCGTTGCGCAGCAAGCCAATCTCTGACACTGGGTGTGGTGGAAGAAAGTAGGAATTTTATTTTGCACAGCACTGAGCAAGGAGAGAGGGCAGCTAACGCTGAAATCCCAAACTCCCCAAAAAGCTAAAAGGAAGGGTTTTTATTTAGGGTTTTAGGTAGGGGAGGGGGAGCATATGGCCTTGCTGGTCAGACCTTTCCCACCAGCCTGTGTTTGGCCTTGAGACGACTTGCAGAGAGGAGGGAGCCCGTGACCTTGCTGGTCAGCAGCTTTCCCACCAGCCTGTATCTCCTCGCAGGGAGGAGATAGTGAATCCAGGTGCTTGTCCTTTACCGTGTCTGTCTCCATGGAGGATAGTGGATTCTGGAGCCAGGAAGCCAGGGAGTAAGCAGGGAAAGAGTGTTTTGGTTTTAACCCCATATATGCTGGGTTTAATGTAGGGAAACTGATATCAGGGTCCGTATCAATAATAGTGGATTCATCTGTTTCTCCTTGCAGTTCTGTCAGTTTTTGTCTCACACATTTTGCTGCTATGCTGTTGGGTACGTGTGAATTAAGGTTTGTTATATCATCTTAGAGAACTGACCCCTTTATCACTATGTAATGTCCCTCTTTCTCTCTGATAATTTTCCTTCCTCTGAAATCTGCTCTGTCTGAAATTAATGTAGCAATCCTCACTTTCTGTTGATTAGTGTTAGCATGGTGTATCTCTCCCCTTCCCTTTACTTTTAGTCTATATGTGTCTTTATATTTACAGTGGATTTCTTATAGACAACATATAGTTGGGTCTTGTTTTTTGACCCACTCTGATGATCTCTGTCTTTTAATCAGTGCATTTAAATCATTGATATTTAAAGTGAGTATTGATATAGCTGGATTAATATGTATGATGTTTGTTACTGTTTTCTATTTGTTGCCTTTGTTCTGATTTTTTGTCTTCCACACTTTTTCTGTCTTCTGTGCTTTTAATCGAGCATTTGACATGATTCAATTTTCTCTCCTTTCTTAGTATATCAATTATACTTCTTTTTTTCCCTTTTTTTAGCAGTTGCCTGAGAGTTTGCAATATACATTTACAACTAATCCAAGTCTACTTTCAAATAGCAGTATACCACTTCAGAGGTAGTGTAAGTGCCTTAGAATAAGAAAGTATTCCTAATCTTCCCCGCTGTCCCTTGTATCATTGCTATCATTCATTTCACTTATACATAATTAAACACATTATTGGTATTATTTTGAACAAACTATCTATTAGACCAATTAAGAATAAGAAAATAAAAGTATTTTCTTTACCTTCATTTATTCATTCTCTGATGCTCTTCCTTTCTTTATGTAGGTCTGAGTTTCTGCCCTGCATCATTTTCTTTGTCACAGAGGAACATCTTTTAACATTCTCGCAAGGTAGGTCTACCGGCAACAAATTCCCTCAATTTTTGTTTGTCCGAGTAAGTCTTCATTTCTCCTTCACTTTTGAAGGATAATTTGCAGGGTACAGAATTCTATGTTGGTGCCTTTTTTCTCTCAACACTTTAAATATTTCACTTCATTGAAGTCTTCTTGCCTGCATGGTTTCTGAGGAGAAGTCAGATGTAATTGTGATCTTTGCTCTCTATAAGTAAGGTGTTTTTCCTTCTGGCTTCTTTCAAGATTTTTTTCTTTATCTTTGATTTTCTAAAGTTTGCATATGATCTGCCCATGTGTATTTTCTTTGGCGTTTATCCTGCTTGGTGTTCTCTGAGCTTCCTGGATCTGTCATGTGGTGTCTGACATTAATTTGGGGAAATTCTTAATCATTATTGCTTCAACAATTTTTTATTTTCTTTCCTTTCCTTCTGATATTTCCATTACACATATGTTACGCCTTTTTTGGTTGTCGCACAGTTCTTGGATATTCTCTTCTCTTTTTTTTTTTTCTGTCTTTTTTCTCTTTGCATTACAGTTTTGGAAGTTTCTATAGTCAGGTCCTCAAGCTCAGCGATTTTCCCCTCAGATGTGTCCAGCCTACTAATGAGCCCATTATAGGCATTCTTCATTTCTGTTAGAGTGTTTTTGATCTCTAGTATTTATTTTTGATTCTTTCTTAGACTTTCCTTCTCTCTGCTTACATTATCCATCTGTTCTTGAATGTTGTCGATTTTATCCATTAAAGCCCTTAGCATATTAAGCATAGTTTAAAAAAAATTCCTGATCTGATAACTGCAACATTCCTGCCATATCTGAGTCTGGTCCGATGCTTGTTCAATCTCTTCAAACTGTACTTTTTGACTTTTAATGTTTTTCATTTTTTACTGAAAGGTAGACATGAGGTATTGTGTGAAAGCAGCTGTGGTAAATAAACTTTTAGTAATATGGTGGTAGGGCATGGGGAAGGGAAGCCTTCTATAATCCTATAATTAAGTCTCAGTGTTTGAGTGATGCTGTGCCCCTGAAGTATGAACATCACCAGCGCTTCTCAGTTTTTCCCCCCTTAGGTGGGACAGGATACTTAGAGTGGGCTGGAGTTGAGTGTTTTCCTTCCTGCATATGGAAAACTAGAGCCCACTAGAATATTTGAATATTGAATATTTCCTTCCCCCAGGTCAGTCAGGCTCTGATAAAACCCAAGCAGATTAGGCTCTGGTGAATTGGTTTCTCCCAAGGGCAGGGCTTTTTAAGAACAGAGTGCTCTGGTGTATTTCAAAATGATTACTTTTCACTCCCCTGCCAGAAGCACAGGGAGTTTTTTCCAATATGCAATCTGAGGACTTGGTTGAGCTCCTAGAGATACAATTCACAAGAGTGTGGTGGCCTCCCTATGACTGCGTCCCCTGGAGTTTTTAAATCTCAGGCTTGTCCACATTGAGCCACCAACAATTCTTCAATTACAGTTCAGGTCTTCCAGCTCCAGTTCTGGTTCCCAGGGAGGTTTCTGCTCCTGGGTTTCTGGTCTAAGTTGTGATGCTTTGTATCTCCTTGTCTGTCTCTCCAGTTTCTGAGGACAGTAGTTGGCCCTGTGACCACACTTTTATCCATCTAAGAAGAGTTGTTGATTTTTCAGCTTTCTACTTGTTATTTGATAGAGCAGCAACTTCTAAGCTCCTTACATGCCAGAGTGGAAACCGGAAGTCTCTGGTTTTCTCTATGTGTTGTTTACAGTTTTCTCCCCAACTTTACTATAAGCTCTGTGAGGACAGGAACTTTGTCAGTCTTATTCATCTTTTGTCTTCAATGCTAGCACTGTGCCTGGCACATGGTGGGTGCTCCACACTCAATGTATGGTCTGTGAAAAAATGAGGTAATGGGAGTCAGAAGACCTGAACTGTGTGATCTTGGGCAAGTCCCTTCCTCTTTCCCAGCCTCAGCTTCCTCACTATCTGTTGTTGTTCTTGTTTGTTTCTCTGTTGTCTCTCTCCACTAGAATGTAAGCTCTGTGAGCTCATGAACCTCATCTGTCAGAGAGCCTGCAACACAATAGGTTCTCTACCAATATTTGTTGAGCAAACAAATGGATGACTGAAGGACTGAATCTCCAAAAGGAGGGGGTTGTCCTTGGTGATTTGATGGCAGGGATTTCTGAGAAATTTCCCTTTCCCATAGCCTAAAGGGGTGCGTGTCAGGGCTAGTTTTATCTACTCCTATGAGAGCTTACTGCCTTTCTAGGAGAGGAATGCAAATAGGTCACATGGGTTAAGATGATCAGAAGTGTCTGGAAAAACAACTTGCCAAACTTTGGAACTCAGCAGCTTCCCTTTGTGTCACTCAGGAGAACACAGACCGTGCTCCAACAAGTGTCTGACAACAATTTGAAGCTTGATGTTGAGCCCTTCAAAACCACACAGTCTTAGGTAATGTGACCCAGTTCCTTGGTTTTGCAAAGAAGGGACTGTGCAACTGGGAGAAGAGAATGCAGTTATTTACCAGTTTCTTCCTAAGGGCAAAAAACAGAATGTTCAGCATTCATGGGAGGGGCAGGAGTTGTGTTCTGCCTGAGGAATTCTTGCTCACTGGATGGTCTGGGTCAGGTGACAAACTTCCATAGCTTGGCCTGGCACCAGAATGGGCCCTGCCTAGAGGCAGGAAAAATGTTTTCTTTAAGTCCTACTTTCCCCAGCAGTTTGCAACAATGCCCTGGTGTCCCATTTCCACAGACTTGATGGGGGCTGGGGGGTGGAGACTACAGGTAATTAAGCTGTAGGACCTTCAAAGGAAACTCTTGTAGAAGAATTCAGTTGGGACGCTGGCCCCCAGGACCAAGGTTCTAAAGAGCCCCTTGCCTTTTGCTAAAGGCAGAACAAACCCATTCCTTGACCCTCTCCAAGGTAGAAGCTGCTGAGATGATATGGATGCTTCTGGAGTGAGAAGGAGAAGGGACTTACAGGGAGCAATCTGTCCTTTGGTGGCACTTAATTATCTGTATCATTCTTCATAGGTTAGCAACTGCTCTTCAGCAAGTAGGAAGACTGTTGAAACAGATTCTGTATTTCTAGGTTTGGGGAACTGGGTGTCATCGGGCAATTTTTACCCCCAAAAATCTTTTAGCTGTGCAAAAATCTACATTAACCACAGAAATTGATCCCCTCAAATTAACATCTTCTCTACGCAGCCCGTCTGTCCCAAGTGTGAGGTTGGAGGGTGGAAGACAGTGGTGACTGGGGGCATGAGCCTGGATGAGATGACTCACAAGGCCTCTTGCAGCCTGAAGATTTGAGGATTCTGTGCTGATGTACCTGTGACAGCCATCAGAAACCAACAGCATCTTCTCTAGAATTTGAGTTTGGATATTGGAGCCCCAGATTTTGACATGGGGCTGCCTATTTTAGGGATCACTATCCCTTTTGCCTCCATAAAGACATTTAAGATGGTAGTTTGGGCTGCCAGTTTCTAGAATCTCTCTGATGAGAGGTATCTTGGATCACCTCCCGAGGCTCCCTTGGCTAGGCAATGTTAGGAAAATAGTTCTGCAGCAGCAGAGACACCCCCTCCCCAAAGGGTCTGCTCTGCTCGCTCTGTTCCCAGGGCATATGGGCACACCTGCCAGCCAGCTCTGGCCCCCTGGAGTAGGCACGTCCCCTGATGTGGGAGTCAATGGTCACAGACCCTTTGATGGTGCACTTTTCTATACTTGTATATTCTCTTCCTTTTTTTCTTCTCCCTCCTTCTCCCCTCTCAATGTATCTAAACACCTGAAGAAGAAACTGCTGGTTGCTTACTCCAACATCTGTTCTTCTCTTCCTCAACAACAAAGACTTGAATTTGTTTTTTTTTTAATATATTCTTTTTTTTTTTGAGGAAGATTAGCCCTGAGCTGACATCTGCTGCCAATCCTCCTCTTTTTGCTGAGGAAGGCTGGCCCTGAGCTAACATCCGTGCCCATCTTCCTCTCCTTTATATGTGGGACGCCTACCACAGCATGGCTTGCCAAGCGGTGCCATATCCGCACCCAGGATCCGAACCGGTGAACCCCAGGCTGCCAAAGTGGAACGTGCGAACTTAACCGCTGAGCCACCGGGCCGGCCCCTTGAATTTGTTTGAGGATGGCAATGTACCCAGTTTAAGAAAGTCTCCATTAGAAGGAGTGGCCAGACGAAGTTATGGCCAATAAGTTGTAAGCAGAAGGGTTGTGCAGTATTTCTGGGAAGCTTCCTCAAAAGGAAGGAGTAATTTTTCTTCCCTTTCTTCCTTTTTGCTATCTGGATTGTGGATACAATGACTGGCACTTAAGCAGCCATTAAGGACACTGAGGCAACATGCTAAATATGGTGAAGTAGCAGCTTGGAAGAAATTGGGGTCTCTGGTGACTTTATAGAGTCACCCTAGCAACCCTGGCCTGCCTGCCCTCAGACTTCTCTTATGGGAGAGATAAATAAGCTTCTGTCTTTTGAAAGCAACTGTTATTGCAACCAGAGCTAATCCTAACTAATACAATATTCCCTCTCTAAACTCAGACTGTAGCTTGACAAGTAGCTCCAGATAATAGGGTGGAGTTTTATGGGTTAAAATATGGATATGGAGAAGAGCGAAAATTTAGAATATCTTAAGGGATAACAGTGGGGATTTCCCTAGGCAAGAGGCACAAGAATAGCACTAGGCTGTACGCAGTTTCCCTTCACAGTAAGGCCCATTTGGACCCCATTGCATCTCTCAGATTTGCCACTATATCCCCAGTGCCTACCCCAGTGCCTGACACATAGAACCGGCTCAATTAAAAATTGTTGAAAGAGTAAACAGTTTGTTGCTTTTGTAAGTGCTCTGACCAACAGGCCAATTCACTTCGGAAAGCTCCCCCCTCATCCCCATGCGAAATCTCTTCTACAACCCACCATCACCTGTCACCACCTCTGAAACTTGCATACATTTATTAACTGGTCAGCAGGCATCAGGTACTGTGTTCAGCTTGGAGGATGAAGTGCTGAGCAAAACAGGTATGGATCCTGCCCTCTGGGAGCTTCCAGTGCAGTAAGACAGAAACACCCAGAAATATGTGAACTAGTCATTACAGTCTGGGATCAGTGCAATGAAGGAAATAATCATGGAGGAAAAATAATAATAAAATAATAATAATGGAGGAAACTTGTTTTTTTTAGGAAGATTAGCTCTGAGCTAACATCTGCTGCCAATGCTCTTTTTTGCTGAGGAAGACTGACTCTGAGCCAAATCTGTGCCCATCTTCCTCTGTTTTATATGTAGCACGCCTGCCACAGCATGGCTTGACAAGTGGTGTGTAGGTCCGCCCCAGGGATCCGAACTGGATCTGAACCCCAGACCGTCGAAGCTGAGCATGTGAACTTAACCGCTATGCCACCAGGCCAGCCCCCGGAGGGGACATTTTTTTAGAGTTATGGGCAATATCCTCTCAGAGAGTGAGAAGCTGAAGGATAAGAGCAAACAGCCGTGCAAAGGGTGGGGTGGCAGTGCTGGTGGAAGCATTCCGGGCCCAGGGAACCACGTGCACAAAGGCTCTGAGGCGTGTTTAAGGAATGAAAGCAGCCCAGTGGGGCTGGAGCTTGGGAAGAGCTGGGGAGTGACTGGTGAAAAGGCTGCAGGGGTCAGCAGAAGCCAGGCCACACAGGCACTTGTAGGCCGCAGGAAGGAGTTTGGACTTTATTCTAAGTGCAATGATAAGCTATTGATAAGCTTAAAGCAAGGGACTGCCAGTATCTGGTTTTGCATTAAGAAAGTCTCTCTGGCTGCTGTGTGGAATTGGACAAGGTCCAGTGTGCAAGCAGGGAGACAAATATGCGAGGTTTTTGCCTCCATGTGACAGATGAGGGTGACTTAGACCAGGTAGTGGCAATGGGGCGGGGGAGCAGTAGAGGGATTCAGAGTGTGCTTTGGGGGTCAAGTGATGGAAACATGACGTGACACTGGGTGATGGACTGAAGGTGGGAGCTGAGAGGGAGAGGGGAATCGGGGGTTCTGATTTGAGCAGCTGTGTAGATGGTGGTGCCTTACGTGGAGATGGGGTACACTGGAGGAGGTGGGGTACACTGGAGGAGGTTGGAGTTAAGACTTTGATTTTGGTCACATAGATATTGACGTACTTGTGAAACATACCAGTGGAGCTGTTGAGAAGACATTTGAATATTTGAGTCTGAAGCTCAGGAGTATGCTTAGGATGGGAGATACAAATTTGGGACTCATTAGTGTGGTGATGCTACTTAAGACCTTGGGAATAGATGCAGCTGACCCGAGAGAGTGTGTGTAGAGAGGGCAGAGCTGAGCCCCGAGACGCTCCAGCAGTTAGAGGAGGAGAAACCTGCAAAGGTGACTGAGAAGGGGCCATAGGATTATTTGTATACTGCCTGTCATCCCCAACAGAATGGTCTAGAGTTTGAGGAGGCTGATAAATAGCACCTCTTTTCTTCTGCCTGAAATCAGAAGCAATCAAGAGAGACACACATCAGTCAGACAGGAGATAAGAATATCACCTTTATTAATCATAGAACTGCTTAGAGAAAGAGAAGTAGAGTTGTCTCTGAACAGGCCTGGTAATATGAGCAGCCTGTCTCACCTGCTTTCTCCACATGGAAACATGACAGGAGCTCTAGGAGCACAGAGGCCCTGTCTGACCTGGTCTGTGCCTAGCACAGTGCCTGGCACACAGTAGGTGCCAATGTTTGTTGAATGATTGGATCCAGATGTCAAGATTGAAACAATCCTCACAGATGATCCAGGAATCGCCTGAAGAGCTTAAACATTCCAATGCCCAGGTTACAATCCCAGACCAATTTTCTCAACATTTATGGGGACAGGGTTCAGGCCTCAGTACTGCATTAAACTCTTGCCAGGTGATTCCAATGTGCAGCCAAGGTTAAGAACTGTTGCTCTGGTCTATTTCCTCATTTACAGTTGGGGACATGAGGCCTAGAGCAAGAGGGTCATCTCTAGCACTAGAGGGCTCGACCTGGCCCTGCTGCTGACTTTGAGTGGCTGGGATAAACCTATTTCTCTCTCTGGGCTTCAGTGTCCTTCTCCGGAAAGTGAAGAGGGTTGGGGCAGTTGATCTCTAGAGCCCCATCCAGCCCTAATGGCATATTACTCTATTCTCTGACCCTAGATGTGAATTAACTCACTGGGGCATCACTTGTGCCTCAGATGTCTCTGCACAGTGGTTAGGTTAGTTTTGCACTTGAAATGAGTAGATTATGGATTGCAATGGACAGCAAAGAGGAGATGCTTGGGACAGTACAGGACCTACCTTTCTCTAAAGAGTGGAGAATTTGTCTTGTTTTTTCCTAGGTGGTAGCAGCAGGAAGTTCACCAGTGGGACAGCAGAGAAATTGCGAGAAGCCCTGCTGAGGAAGCCCCAGTGGGCTGGGGCCGTCTTGTTTTTTGCTGAGGAAGATTCACCCTGAGCTAACATCTGTGCCAATCTTCCTCTATATTGTATGTGGGTTGCCGCCACAGCATGGCCACTGATGAGTGGTGTAGGTCCGCACCCAGGAGCCAAACCCGAGCTGCAGAAGCGGAGAACACTGGACTTAATCACTAAGCCATGGGGCTGGTGGGGCCATCATTTTTGCTCACGTTCCTCCTCTTCTAGTTCTTGTCTTCCCCACCCACCCCCTCCTGGTCATCTCTTTTTCATTCTTTCCTGTCCTCTCCATTTATCTACATCAGTCACAAATCTTTCAAAGGTGAGCCTGTTCCCTCTGCCTACCCAAGACATCCTCCATGCAGCCCACCTCCTTCTCTCCCACTTGAGTTTGGTGACCCAGAGCTTGTAAGTGTGTTGTCACACCACAACCAGAAGTGGTTCATGAAATGAGACAAGCTGGGAAATAAGGCTGTAAGTGATTCCTTCCTCTACAAAATTACATGGAGTGCTGTGGTGCTGAGCCCTGTATTGGTCTTGAAAACTGGACATTTCCTCAGCAACTTGATAAGAATTCGCTATGAGGCTGACTAGAATCTGGGGGCTGGAGGGGAAACTGAGGCCTAGAGCAAAGAGGTAACCGTACAAGTTTCACTGCTAGAGGGCTCTGCCTGGCCCAGGGACTTACTAAGGCATGGCTCAGAAATGATCCTGGGTAACTGCTTTGTTTTGCAAATTGCAAAACTGAGGTCTGGAGACACCAATGACTTGCCCAGGGCATGTGGCTTGTTCCCAAAGACTAGGACTACAGCCCAGGACTCCTGACTCTTCTTCCTAGAACACCTCAGCTGCCTCAGTCTTCTCCAGAGTGACCTTTAGAGACTAGTTTAATTTTGTAAGCTGGTGGGGCTTGCAGTAAGAACTTTGAAGAAGAAATGTCAAAAGGAATCGACAAGAATAAAAATGGAGAGGAGATCACAAAGCTCAGTGTCCCTTGAGGCTTTTCCTATCTCTTTCCTTGACACCTCCCTAGCCAGCCCCTCCTCCTCCCTTGCACGGCCTCACTGTTTGCGGCGTCCAAAGGGTGGCTCTGGCCTCCTCTGCACCCACTTCCCAGGGCGCATGTCCACTCACATCACTTTAGCTCCTGTGACATGCAGACACTTCCACATCTGCTGCTCCTGCCCTGGACTTCACATTTCTTTCCACAGCTGGTTCTGGGATATTTCCATATGTAAATATGCTTAGCTCAGCTGGAAATCAAAATTGGAATTCATCTTCCCTCTGAAAATCTGCAGCCTTTTCCTACACCCCTGTTTCCTTCCGTGCTTCCATAGTCTCCCAGACTCAAAACTTTCGTGTCCCCAGAGGCTGGAGGAGTTGGGAAGGGGAGTCAGTGTTTAATGGGGACAGAGCTTCAGTTTGGGAAGATGACAACGTTCTGGACACGGATGGTGATGATGGTTGTCCAACAATGTGAATGTACTTAATGCCACTGAACTGCACACTTAATAATGGTTACAATGGAGAAAAATGGTTGCAGGGGTAAATTTTATATGTATTTAACACAATATAAAAAACATAAAACAAAAAACTTTCATGTTATCCTTGACTCATGGCTACTTTGCTCTCTCCTTCCCAGCTCACTTTGTCCCCGGGTCATGCTGAGTTTTCACTTAGTGGAAGTTCCTCAAACTTTCACAAACTCCAGCATCATCAGGGACGCTTGTTAGTTATCAATTCCCGAGCCCCATCCCCCTCTTTAGTCTAAGAGTGAGGCCTGGAATCTGCATTTTAAACGAACTTGCCAACAAACCTGACACAAGTGGACTGCAGACCACACTTGGAGAAACACTGCCTTCCAGTGTCTTTCGGCTTTGTCCCTTTGTCTCCTTTCCACGACCCCTCTCCCTCTCTGCCCCGGCTGGCCCTCATCACCTCGCACCTGGATTACAGCAACAGCTGGCCTGTCTTCCGCTAGCCTTTCCCTGCTCCAGCCTCTCCAGCTGCCAGGACCCATCTTCTGCAAATATCTTTGGCATCACATCACTTCCCCGCTCAGAAGCCCACCATGGCTCCCTCAGACCTAGTAGATCCTATCTCCATTCATTTGGCTGGGAGCCAGCCAAGTCGGCCTCCCATCATCCCTCCTTCCTCCTTCCCTGTTCACTCCCAACTCTGCAGGCTCATGGGACATTTTTAATCTTATGATAGCTCCTCTGCTGGTTTGGGGGGGTCTCCTTTCTACCACCCCCCTCCCCGCCTCCAGAACACTTCTGGTTATATGGGAGGAATTATGAAAGCTGTTGAGAGTCTCCATCCTGTTTCTCAATGTGTCTGTCCCCTCTCCCCTACACTCCCGGCGGTGCCATTCACTAGCTAAATGGCTTTGGGCAAGTTGCTTCACCTCTCCGTACCTTGGTGTTCTCATTTTCTCATCTAAAATGGGGATCTGAGTCATATACCTTCACAGATTTGTGGAGAGGGTTAAAAGAGGCAATAGATGCCAAAGGGCTTAGAACAGTGTCTGGCACAAAGTAAGTGCCATGGAAATGTTAACTTTTATTATTAATTATGGTTGTTATGGCCCCTTCCGCCAGCTCTTTCCTGGAAACCTCTTCTGCTCGGAATAGTTAACTGATGGAGTTTTCTGTCAGACCTTGCCGTGTCTAGCAGATGGAGTTAAGTATTAAGTATTTGGGTTCCATCAAGCTTCCCTGCATGAGACAACCTAAGGCGCTGGGCTGTCTACAAAGCTCTAATTATGTCCAATAATTTCTAACCAACTAGGAGGACAACAGGTGCGATCCGCAAAAGAGATTTTTCCAGGATAAGGAGGATGATGTTAGGTCAACTTCAAAATACCCTAAGGGACAGCAGGGTGTGCGCCTTCCTTGCTATGGTCTTTCTGGAATCCTTCTCCCTACACTCCAGGTCCCAGTGGCCCTGCTGCCTCATCTGCTCGGTCCCTGGGTTCCTTCTCAGAGCCCAACCAGGAGCACCTTCCTCTGGTAGTTCCCGCCTGGGAGCCTTGCACCTTGCACCCCAGCAGTCCTTGTCTATAAATAATCTACTGCCCACATTTCTGTTCTACTTTTCAAATCTACCTCTCTGCTTCTATGGCAAATACAATACATTCCTTTAAAAGCCCCACTGAATTCACAGTCGCTGTTTGTCATCACATGCCCCCTTTCTCTCTCTCTCAGTGAGTACTAAAAGTTCAACTACTATTGGGTTGGGGGAGGGAGGTCTGAGAATATTTTTTGACATTGAAAAGGGACCCCTGTTGTCACAAAGGCTGGGAACCACTGCCCCATGGGATATGTGAGAACTGTGGGAGTAGCACCGAGCTCCCTGGCTCTCAGTTTTCTTGTCTGTCAAATGGAGGTAAAAATCATAACTGCCTGTGTTTCTGACGGCAGGAAACAGCGGGTTTGTTCCGCATTAATGAGGAGGGGCTCAGAGCGGAGCTCCTCTGATTCTTGTCGATGTTCAGGGAGGGGAGAGCTGCGTGGGCATCAGATGAGATAACAGATAGGAGGGCCCTGGGAGAGGGTGCGTGCCCAGGCAGAGGAGCATTAGTGCCATTGTTCCTCTTGTTCTTTTCCTTGTTCTGGGTCCAGCTGGACTCACTGAGCCCAGAACCCCAAAGCCCGTGAGCGTCTTTCCAGGAGCAGTGTGTGCTTTGCCTTGCCCCACCCTTACTTGGTTTTCGGTGGAACAACAACAAAGAGCTGCTCCTATATGTGACTAACAAACAGCCACAAAGTTCCTCTTATCTAGTCTAGCAACCGCTGTGGCCTGAGAAGTGGCAGTGTTTGTCTCTGTTTAGTCGGGGTTGCCTAGGAAACGAAGTTCTTCTCTCTTTCCCACTATGTGACCGTGGGCAAGTTTTTCCCCTTTCTTGCAGGGAAGGGCTGGATGACCAGAGAGGGCTGTGAGTTTGCTGGGCCATCTTCTGAGTTTCTTTTTTCATCTGTTGACTCTTGTTGGGCTAGAAATCACGTGTGGGAAGTCTACAGACCAGCTGAAGTATTCAAAAGGCCCTCAGCTCATCTTGAAAGGGGGAGGGGATTGGGAGTAAGTGGGAACTGAGGAGAGCCAGTCTGGGTCAGGAGGTGGGGGGTGGCTGCCTGGTCCAAAGTTTGTATCCATTCCAGCAGCCGTGAAATCTGCACGCCAAGACCAAATTGGCAGGTTACACCGGGAACTTGGCATCATGAGTCAAAGGTTAGGAGCAGCTGGGGAAATTGGGATTTGACGGGCTGGCAAGCAGGAGTTCGTAACTTTCTGAAGAAGAGTTTTGGTGATTAGAAGAGAACAGGCCAACATGTATGACCTTTATAGTGAAGGAAGCATGACATTTTGAATATATTGGGCAGTGCTTGGTGCAAGGGAGGGGGCCAAGACCTCTTGGGCCTTGGTTTGTGGCTCAAGGAAATCAAGGAGTTCTGTTAAATTTCAAGTGGCAAAGGGATGGGTATATATCTAGAGGAAGCTGAGATCATATGGAGTCACTCACATAGGGGTGATAACCTCCCTTGGGAACACAGGGGCCTTAGAAGACAGCTCAGGGTCCAGGGTGGGTCCAGGTTAGGGTGTGGTCAAGGAGACACTGAATGCTCATCAACAGAGAATCAGAGAAATGTCGGGACTTCAGATGCCAAGACATGGGGCCGGGGAAAGGGGGATGGGTGAGGATGAACCCCAAAGAAAGGTGGAGAAGGGAAGTAAAGTCAGGATCCTTGGACTTAGCCCTCCCACACGGCTGGTGGGTTTTGTGAGAGAATTTTCAACAGTGACAAGTGGAACAGCAAGGATTGAGAGCATCTTCCCTTGGGGGAGAGGGACGTGGTTTTGGCCATCACATACATTCTGAGTCCTTTTCTCACTAAGGCCTCCTTAGCTCCTTTGCCGAGGTCAAGCATCTCACGTGGACAGGTGTTAAGGAGAACAGGTGACCTGGATGCTGTTTTCAGAAGAGGGAAGTGGCCCACTTGTGTTTATTTGGTTCCTCTCTTCTTGCTCCCTCACGTGTGTACGCTGCCCTTTACTTTTAGGCCTTCTTGGAGTATCCTTCCTCCCAAATCACCCCCTCAAGCTGAGGTTGTATGTTAGTCGTCACCTCACCGCTCACTCTGAAGCTGTCATATGAAAGCAGGAGAACAGAGAAGGATGATGTAGGGTTGAATCCTGCTTCACCCTAATAGCCGTGTGACTTTGGGTAAGTCACGTAAACTGGCTGAGTCTCAACTTTCTCACCCGTACAATGGGGGATATTGTGATGGTTACACAAGATCATGGATGTAGCAGAGGCCTGCCACTTAGAAGGTGCTCATGCGTGTTCAAGGAGTCAGAAAAACAGCACCCCCAACCACACGAGGGGCCCCTAATACCCACTCCACTTACACTCAGTCAGACACTAGGTTTATTTTTAGAAAAAAAAAGAGCAAAGTTTATTGAAATTTCAAGCTACATCTGAAAAATCAAAATCCAAATCCTGGAAACATACATCAGGATCAGGTGTCAGAAAGTGGAAAGTGTTCACTGAACCCGCTAGAGACAAGCTCCCTGAGCACATCACCCAGGCACCGTCAGGTCAAAGCCGTTCCCTCGTCCATCCCTTGTCCACATGAGGACACCAGCAAGGCAATCATTCTGTTCACTTGAAAGTTTCCCACAAACATAAAAAAAAAAGAGAGAAGAGTTTTGAATGGCAATGTGAAGTCCTAGCTGATCTTCTCTCAAACCCATTCTTTGTAGTCAGCACCAGTGAATGGTGGGTTTGGCTTTTAAAAGAGGACCTCACAAGTCTTCAGGGGACAGATGGGGCAAGGGTTGCAGCAGCAAGGCATCTGTGGCCACATTCAGAGGCTGGCCCCCTCCCTGTCTTTACGCTTTAGTCTTATTTAACCTAAAGGACAAACTGGATCAACTTGGTAAATGAACACAGTCAAAGAATTAGCCTTAAGAGATAAGGAACCAGTCAATATTCCCAAAGCTGGTTAGGCCCTTCGACACGTAGGTGTATGTGTATATGTATACATCGCTACACTAAGATATAGATCTAGCCCTATGGGTATATATACGCATGTATGGCTATATAGAAAAACTATGCCAATACTAACCAAACAGAACTTTGTAAGCGGTCATCCCAAAGCCGTAATCCCACACTGGGCTGTGCACAAAGCCATGCATTAGACCATATTAACCAACAGAAGGCTGACTTGGCTCAATCTCTCCCATCTGTGGCCCTGCCTTGGCGAGGCGGGGGAAAAGAGAGAGGTTGCCTCTGCTTAAAACACAAGTGGCTTCTTCATAGGAACAGTCATTGTCAGGTGAAGCTGCTGAAGATGTCCATGGAAATGAAAAACAGACCCCTGATACTTTCTGGAACTAACTGGCGTCACATCTCAAACTACCTTTCTCCTTTGCCAGTCACAGCTAAGTTGCCCAGGCTCTGGGAGCCCCTAGGGCGCGGTGGCATTAGAGGCTCACTGGCTTGGGGTGACAAGACCCCATGCAACTCAGCCTCCAGGGACTTGCTCTTTGTCAGGGGTCTGTCACTGGAGTGGACCCAGGTGGCCATGTCCTTGGGACATCTCTTGGCACCAGCTATGCTAGGTGTAAAGTTCTCCACGTGAGATGACGCTTGGGGAGCCAAAACAAACTGGAAAGAACTAGGTAGAACAAGTTTAGTGGCTCTGTCCACCCTGAGGACAGAGCCACTTACACCGCAGAACCACCGGGGGCCTCAGGCGCTTGTGGGGTTTCAGGAGCTGGCTCTTCAGGGCTCAGACGGGACTGGAACTTCTCCAGCTGCTCCGGGCTCGCCAGGGTCTTCAAGAGGGTATTCTCACGCTCCAGCTGGGAGTTCTTCTCCACCAGCTCTCGGATCTGCTCCTTCAGGATCTCTACCTCCTCTCTCACAGCATACATCAGATGATTCTTCACCAGATCCTGTCACGGAGGAAATCACAACAGAGCCATTCATTAGCCATCATGGCCCCTCTGCAGCAGGTTCACCTTGCCACTGGGGAGACGACGCTGTCTCTCATGCCACCAACCTCCAGCCTTCCCTCAGCAGCCCGTCAGCACGCTGGCCCTGCAGCGCTATTTGTCCTGCGCCTTTCTCTGAAGCACTGAAACCCTCTCTCAGGAGAGCTGCACGATCGGCCACGCGTGCACTGGGAGCCCGTCTTTGAGCTGCAAAGGATCCCCCTGCAAGTTTCTAATGACTTTCGAAGCTGGCCACTCAGGACCTTTCAGATGAGGCTTCTGCTGGTTGCTATATCCCCATTTCCACAGAAGGTCCTGCGGCTGGCCCAGATCCCAGGGAGCACCCGCAATGCACCCCAGACTGTTTGTCTGCTTTACAAGTCTTCACCAAGAGAATAAAATTGGCTATTTTGAAGTCTCCTCCTTTCTACGTGACCCAGCACACACAAATGCAGCTGTCCTGCAGCCTGGCCTGGCAGGACACTAGCCCTGGGGGAAGGTACTGGGATTGCTGCATCCTCTCTGAATTCCACGGCTGCACTGGGGGCAGGGAACTGTCATTAAGCTCCAGGGCACAAATAAGTGCCAGGCGCCCTGACGCCCTGCAGCCATTTTGGCCTCTACCTGGTAAAGACAGGGAGAAGGGGTGGGGTGCTTTGTTTCCTGTTTCCTCCCAACTCCTGACCCCAGCCCCTGCTCTGCAGAGGCACTGCAGTACGGGTGCATCCAATGAGCTCTGGCCCCTGCCAAATGCGGACACAGACAAATGCAAGTGTCTGAGCTCCCTGCCTGCCACAGGCCAGGAGGGAGCCAGAGGCTGTGGCAAAGTCCTGGGATGGAAGAGGGAGGAGGAAAGAAGGGGGCACAGCAAGGATAGACTGGAAATGCCCTAAAAGGTGCCACTCTGATGAGACTCTACTTAAGGCCCCCAAGGGGATAGGAGGCAGGCTGGTGGCTTCCTCAGGCTCTTGGCTAACGGCTTTTGCACCCACCCCCACAGTCCTGCTCCGAGTTACATAAGCAGCAGCTCAGTCTGGGGATGGGAATGACGCAGTGATGCCACTCACCATGGCCTGCTCGATCTTGTTGTCTATGGCCACCACGCTGGCTCCAGAGGCACTGCCAAGACAAAAAGCAAAGCGACTGAATTACCCACTTGGTTTCACTCTGACGGCCTCGCAGCTGTGGCCCAAGTCCTCCATCTGCCCCAGCTCTTCCTCTCTCCTGCCTCCCTGGACAGTGTTCCGGGCACTCTGCCCCCAGGTCCCTCCCTGGCCCCTGCAGGAAGCTGCACCTCCCCACCCAGGCTGGCTCCCCACCGCCACCACCCAGAGATCCGCGTGGAGCAGCGCGCGGGTCCTGGGCGCACGGGCCAGCGTGGCCTGCTCGGCCCGCCCAGGCGACATGCAAACAATAGGGGCGCGCGTCCCAGGGAGTCCCCTGCCGCCTGCCCATTCCGGCGCCGGCCCAGAACGTCCAGGCCAAACCTACCGGGGCTCCGAGGCTAGCTAGGAATTCCTTCCCGGCTCGGAAGCTTCCGGCCTGCTCCGCAGTGGCGCACGGCGCGCGGCCAGCCCCCTGCCCAGCCCTGCCCAGCCCGGCCCCGCCGCCCTCTGCCTCCAGCCGCCTCTGCCTCGGGCTGCAGCAGCTCGGGCGCGTAGCGGCCGCAGGGACGCTCCGACGGCGGATCCCAGCGCGGCGGTGATGCCCCCCTTCCTGCGTCCCATACCCCCGCCCCTTCCCAGGATGCTGCACCGCGGGGAACGGGGACCGGCAGCGCACGGCTCGCTCTGAGATCCCGCTCGCAGCCCAGCCCCCGCGGGCGCCCCAGCTGGGGAGCTGGGGCCAGTGATTACCTGTTATCCAGCTTAACGGAAACCACATCTCCTCCAAGCAGGGAAGAGAAGAAGGAGATGTTGAAATTGTGCAGCTGATAGACCGCCACCTCCATGGGGGTCTGATACATTTCGGTGTTCATGGCTGGGCTGCCGGGGAGCTCTGGCCGGACTGGGCGGGCTGGGCGGCCGCGGCTGCTGGCGCGCTGCACGGGGCTGGGCTCTGCGCGTCTGGCCCTGGGGCTAGGAGGGGGGCGAAGGCTGCCGAGCGGACCCAAAGCCAGGCAGGCACTCCAGAGTTGAAGGGAAGTGACTCGAGGGGTGTCACCTAATGTGTCACAAACTCCACAGCCGCCAGTCCAACCCAGACTCAGAGATATTTCGGCTCCTGCTTCTTTATATAGGAGGAGCCGGCTGCGTCACATGGCGTCAGGGGCCATGCAAATGAGTCCTGTACCGCTTTGTGGCCCAGTTAAACCACATCCCCTCCCTGAACCTTAGGCTGGGACTGTAAACAGTTCAGCGCTTTCTTGTGCCAACTGGCATCTACAAAGAGGGCTCTGGAGATTGGTAAAAACCAAACTGGAGCTGATTTCTTAGAGCAATAAGTACGAATGCCATAACAGGAGGTAGAAAGCGTTCAGTAGAGGGTGGGGCTGGTTTTAAAAGCGCTGCTTCAGGTGTCAGCCAGCGTACCCCCGTGGCTTGGCAATGCTATCGCCTACCACACCCCCTGGATACTCAGCATCACCATCAGGAGCCTCACCTTCTTCCTACCGGCTGCCTTCTCATCCTCTGTCCTGCACACACCTGAATGTCCCCTCACTTAGACAGCTGGCCTCCTGGCCTGCCCCCAACCCCAGCACCTTATCCACTCACCTCCTCCTTTGGATGTATCTGTCTGTGTACTGACACATGCAGAGATCTGTAACATGCACAGGGTGCGTGCACAGGTCTGAGTTAATCTGCGTGCCACTGTGCATGTATAGAGGAGAGGGTCCAGGAACTCGGATGAGTGGGGGAACATGTACAAGGGAGCAGCTAGGGGCCAAGTGGGTGACAGAGGAAGTGGGGAGGAGACAGTAGGGGAGTGGGCACTAGAGTGACCACAAGATGCCCGCCCTTTTCTCTTTGGTCTCCACACCCTACTCTGCAAGGAAAATACATTCAACATTATCCAGGATCTCATGTCTCTCTTTTTTTTTTTTGTGAGGAAGATGAGCCTGAGCTAACATCTGCTGCCAATCCTCCTCTTTTTGCTGAGGAAGACTGGCCCTGAGCTAACATCCGTTCCCATCTTCCTCTACTTTATATGTGGAACGCCTACCACAGCATGGCGTGCCAACCAGTGCCATGTCCGCACCCAGGATCCGAACTGGCGAACCCCGGGCTGCTGAAGTGGAACGTGCGCACTTAACCGCTGCACCACCGGGCCGGCCCCTCATGCCCCTATTTTTAAAAACAAGATTTTGTTACTTTCCTGTAAACAGCAAAAGGCAACAAAACTATCAACTGAGGCTATATATAAACCGTCCCAGGAAAACACCTGCCCTATGATAGGTCCAGCCATACACAGGGTTAGAGGGTATTTCAGGAACAGATTCCAAGTTCACAAGGAAAACGAGGTGATTGTTGCCTAGTAGGATTTACATATGCTTCCATCAAAATATATTTTCATTTTTTTCAGCCTCAGGCTTAAAAAAAAGGCATCAGAAGCTTGAGGTCCTTTTCTCCTGCTCTATCCTAAGTGAGGCCACCTGGTGGACGGCAGCAGAACTGCAGCAAGAAGGAGCGGCCTAGACAGAACAAGGGACAGGTGATGCAACTCCGAATAGTATTTACACCAACTCAGGGCCATAAGGAGAACATCGGGTTCCACCACATATACAATAGTTTGGATGAAGTCGGGGCCAGTACCCACGAATCAGTATGTGATTCAGGCTGTGGTCCAAAGAAATACCCTAATACAATCATGCTGTTGGAAAAGTACTAGGGCCTCTTATCAGCAAAGAAGGTAATTATTATTTGCTTCAGGATATATCTCCTAACCAGGTGCCTGGCACCGACACCCTTGCCAGGGCCCCGGTTAAGCCAAGTCTGAAGGCCTTGATTTTCTCTAGGCTGCCAGTGCAGTTATGCCACTGAATAACCAACATTTTTCACTATGATGTGGGGTCCCCATGGGATCCCACCAGGGGCAATAGGTGTCTAAGGGCTATTCTATTTGCAAAGGGCTGACAAATCCAAGCAAACTTACTGTACTAGCCCAGGACGGTTTTTCTTCACCGCAGTGTAGGGGGGAGACTATCCCAATGTCAAGATAATCTGTTACCTTTAGGTTACTGGCTCTCTGAACGTGGTGTTTGCACTAAGCTGTGTGTAGCAGACAGGGCAAAGAACAGACTGTATTTATAGGTCATCAAGAATATTAGCCGAGAGAAAAAAGAAAACTTCTTAAATCAGGAGCATAATTGATTTTGGAATTCCCTGCTATCTTAATCTACCTTCCATGCCACATAGAGCTTGTCCAGCTTTCTTGGTCCAGGAAGCGTCTCTGAGTAGATCTTTCGTTGGGTTGTAAATTCTTCCTAAACTAACTCTTGCTACCTACCCCAAGATTCCAAGGGAGATGATGAAGAGAAAAAGGGAGAGATAAGCTGAGTTAGCAGGGAAAAACACCACCAGGAAAACAGGGCATGGAGCAGAAGAAAAAACAGCTCCTTCAATGGAAATTCCCTTATATGGAGAAGGAGGCAGAGAAATCAAGGTAGTTTGGGGAGGGAAAGGAAAAGAGGTTAAGTTTGTTAGCAAGGCTGCATTTAAATTGTATGTTAATTATACTTCAATTAAAAATAAGCTGAGTTTGAGACCCACTGACAATTAACAGCTACCATTAACTGAGCATTGGCTATGGGCCAGACCCTCTGCTGGCTGCGCCAAAAAGCCTGTGGTATAGGCGCTGTCACAATGATTTTATAGATGAAGAAACCGAGACTCCGAGAGGCTACCTTGCCCAAGGTGGCACAGCTAATAAATTGTAGAGCTAGGATTCCAGCCCACGTCTTCCAGACCTAGAGACCAAGTTTATTCCTACTACACTTACTAGTGGGACAGGGAGTAGGTTTGTTGAATGAGTGAGTCAAGGCACTTGGGGGTTGGGTTGGAGGTGCCAGAAGGGTGAGCAGGAGGAGGAAAGGGTGAGGGCCAGGAGAAGCGCTCCTAGGACTCCAGCAGCTCTACTATTAGAGAGCGGTCCAGAGACTGACTTTGAGCTCCGGGAGTGCAGCTGGCTCTTCTGACACTCCCGGCAGGGGAGAGCAGCACTGGGGGACGGGAAGAATATCCAAGGTGTCCCACTGAGGGTTCTAAGAGGTCTGTGCTCACCCACAGCATTTCAAAAGGCAGCCACGCAGTCCTCGGAGAAAGCTCTGTCTAGGAAATAGGAAATATCGACTCAACTGGGTTGCTCCCAGAATGGACTATGTAGGCCTGGGGTACACAATGTACTGTATAAGGTATGGAGTCTTGAAATAATAATCAGAGTCCAGTCCAGTCAAACCTCCAGTTCCTAGGGCCCCACTAACTGGCATCCTTAATTAACTCTTTTTTACCCCCCATTCCTGCTGTCCTCAGCTTTTAGGAGAATGAAGCCAACAACAAGAAAACAAGCTCATGTCAGGGATTTAGTTTTAAAAAAACTTCGAAAAGATGGCCCAGGTTCAGCCCCCACTCAGCCAATCTCTCCTCTCCTCTGCACCTCTAGATGGCCCCGAGAAGTGATCGCCCCTGAGCCTTATGATCCTCCATCAGCAAAAAATGGCTGGATCTCAGCGCTCACTGAGGAAAGACACTGTAAATGTCCCTGTAGAGACAGTTTCAAATGGGCAGGTAGAAGGAGGAGGGGGAAGAATTAGGAGGAACCCAAAAGATTTTCTGCTTAACCCTCGGTGCACCAGAAAATTCCTCAGCCCAGAAGAGCTGCATCAGACCTTGCGGTGAGTGAAGCTTGCGCTGCACAACATAGCTCTACGACCTGATCTAGCTTTTCTGAGTAAAGCGCTGATCCATGAGGCTCTCAGAGCCCTTGTGTTCTGTGGGGGTGGGCCCCAGGCAGGAAACGGTGACCTAGAGATTCAGTAGCCCAGAAACCCCAACATGTGTAAATGTTTCCAAACTCCCTTTCTTCCATCCTATGATACAGCTGGACCCAGAGTCACTGCGGCCACAGTGCCCAGCTGATGAGCCAGGTCCTTCATCGGCTCTCAGCTCTAGCCCTGTAGCCAT